TTAAATGTGTTCTATATATCAATGGCTGTTAATTTTATACACTTTTAGGTATGAACAAAGTGCAATTACACGAGTATTTTTCAAATCACCGTGACAGTGTAAAATATCACCGGAGATGACTTCAACTTTAAATATTATTTTCACATTAATAATGAATATTTATTAATAAAGTGCTAATACAAATTTCTTCAATAAATTGTCCTCTTTCAATTTTTCTATTTTACTTTGTCTTTTTTTAATGTTTTACAGTTTTTATTTACTTTTCACCGTAAAATCACCGATACAGTGATTTTACGGTGATCTCAATCCGCAAGGGATTTCCATAATGCGCACGCGTCTGCTTCTGTTCTGACAGTGTTTACCAGTGTTTACCTCTATATCTTTCGCGTCATTTATCGTGATTTCGTAAAACGATTTTTTATCATTACTCGCGTCTATTTTTTGTACATAAAATGGAGTTCTTACATACATCAAAATTGCTGGTTTCTCGGAACCTCTGGAAATATAGGTAGTCCATGTTTTAGAAATTAAACTATTTAATTATATTAGTCAATTCTTTCAGACTTTTTTGGTTAGGTTTCAATATAAATCGTCGAAATTTTTACGCACGTGGTGACAACATTTTTACTATTTTAATCGCGCAGTGTGTTTGAAAATTTACCTTTGCAATAATTTGTGTATTTAAATTTATTTTCATTTGAATGTCATAAATAATTAAAAATAAATAGTTTTTGACAAGTGTATAAAATTGTGTACTCGAAATGTATAAAACATCATCTGATTAAGTATTGTATTTTGACTCGAAAATCTAGTGTCTATTAAAAAAATTAAAATACCAAGTCGTGTTTAGTGTTTTATTTATTTATTTCATAAGTTAAAATTAATTCTAAGGTATATAAATACAAAGTCAAATATAAATATGTTCAAATACAATATTTTCCTTAATTTTTCCCTTCGTATTTTTCTTAAACATTTTCTTCATTTTTTTAAAAATGTTTTCTTTAAATATTTCTTTATTTTTTCTTACATTTTCCTTAAATTTTTTCTGAATATTTTCCTAAAAATTTTTCTTTAAATTTTTCCACTATGTTTCGTATAATTTTCCTTAAACTTTTCAATTATTTTTTCCTAATATTTTCTTTAAACTTTTTTTATTATTTTACTTCCTCACGAGGAAGCTTTGCATTCGTGACGATTTTCAATTTTTCAAAAGAAGGTTATATGGACTCATTTTCATTTAGAACATATGTACATTCAATTCTCAGCAAATGTCCAGATGTATGTATGTGTGTGTGTGCGTGTGTGTATGTCACAAAAAAATTGTGTACAAATTATCTCAGACAAATTTTGATGGATTGTCCTAAAATTTTGCAGGTTTATTGCAGTTATTAATACTTAAAATCTGACACAAGGGTTTTCAGAAATATCTACAAATTTTTTTTTATACTATTTTTTTTTAAATTCAAAAAAAATTTTTTTTTTGTATTTTTTAAAATAATTTTTTTATTTGTTAATATTTTCATTAATTATTCTCAAAATTACATTTATGACAAGAAAACGAATCGATTGATGTATACAAAGTATATATTTTATCAAAATTTATAAAATTAATAAATATTTTTCTTTTTCACAAAAAATTCAAATTTTGTATTTGTTTCATAACTTATTTAATATTAATATTAATATTTTGTTATTAATATTTTATTTTAATATTAATATTAATATTAATATTCACAAATTTCTATTTATACCTATATTGGGGAAGCTAAATGGTCATGAAGTCAAAAATTTGTTTCTCATAATTTTCTTTTACCTTTTCCTTAAACATTTCCCTTAGTTTTTCTTAAAATTTTCCATGTTTTCTTTAATATTTTCTTTAAACTTTTATTTACCTTTATATTTTCCTGGATATTTTCCTTAAAGTTTTTCTTTATTTTTTCTTCATATTTTCTTTAAACTTTTTCTTTATTTTTTCTTATAATTTTCCTTTGTCCTTTCCTTAAAAATTTCCCTTATTTTTTCTTAAAATTTTCCTTTTTTTCCTTAATTTTTTCTTGAAACTTTTCCTTAATGTTTTCCTTAATATTTTCTTTAAACTTTTATTTTCCTTTATTTTTTCCTTAATATTTTCCTTAAACTTTTTAATTTTTTAAAATATTTTCTTTAAATTTTTTCTTACAATTTTTCTGAATATTTTTCTGAATATTTTCTTAAAAATTTTTCCATTATTTTTCTTATAACTTTCCTTAAACTTTTCTTTTATTTTTTCCTTAAAATTTTTCTTAATATTTTCTTTAAACTTACCCTTAATGTTTTCCTTAAACTTTACCTTAATATTTTCTTTAAACTTTTATTTTCCTTTATTTTTTCCTTAATATTTTCCTTGAACTTTTCCTTTATTTTTTCCTTAATATTTTTTTTTATTTTTTCTTAAAACTTTTCTTATAATTTTCCTTTGTCTTTTCCTTTAATATTTTTCTTATTTTTTCTTACAATTTTCCTTAAACTTTTCCTTAATATTTCCTTTAAACTTTCTTTTTCTTATAATTTTTCTTTGTCTTTTCCTTAAATATTTCCCATTTTTTCTTAAAATTTTCCTTTTTTTTCCTTAATATTTTCTTTAAACTTACCCTTCAAGTTTTCCTATTAAACTTTTCCTTATTATTTTTTTTTATTTTTTCTTAATATTTTCTTTAAACTTTTTCTTTATTTTTTCTTATAATTTTCCTTTGTCTTTTCCTTAAATATTTTTCTTATTTTTTCTTACAATTTTCCTTTTTTTCCTTAATATTGTCCTTAAACATTTTCTTAATTTTGTAAAAATATTTTCTTTAAGTTTTTTCTTTATTTTTTCTTACAGTTTTCCTTAAACTTTTTCTGAATATTTTCCTAAAAATTGGTCCATTATTTTTCTTATAATTTTTTTTAACTTTTCATTTATTTTTCCTTAATATTTTCTTTAAACTTTTTTTATTTTTTCTTAAAATTTTCCTTTTTTTCCTTAATATTTTCTTTAAACTTTTATTTTCCTTTATTTTTTCCTTATACTTTTCCTTAATTTTTAAAAATGTTTTCTTCAAATTTTTCCTTTATTTTTTTCTCACAATTTTCCTTAAAATTTTTCTTAATATTTTCCTAAAACTTTACCTTAACATTTTCTTTAAATTTTTCCATTATTTTTCTTATAATTTTCCTTAAACATTTCCTTTATTTCTTTCTTAATATTTTTCTTAAACTTTTTCTTATTTTTTGCCTTAAACTTGTCCTTTATTTTTTCCATAAACTTTTCGTTAATTTTTTTCTTTATATTTTCTTTTCCTTATTATTTTCCTTCATTTTTTTCTAAATATTTTTAATAACCTGAAAAGCATGGGCGGTCCTAGAAATTCGTTATTATTATTCAAAAGTTATCTTCTTGACAGATCTTAGTAGTTAAAATTGACCATGAACATTTGTTTTTTATGATGTACAAGAATGACATAAAATCGATTTTTAAATACTCACTAGTCCTTCTATTTGCCAACGATATTAAATGCTACAAAACGAATCCTCTGTAATCTGGTTACCACTCTTCTTTTTTAATATAGTCAAAATAGAGCGTGTTCAGAATAAATTTTTACGATTTGTTGCTTGGCAACTTAATTTATAGTGATGCAATATTGATCGATACATACGAGCAATGAGCAGGAATGAAAAAATATATTCCATTCTTTGGTTTTAAATCTCATCTCATACAAACAAGATTCTCGAAGGATCGCAATTTGCGATCGACTTTTTAATATTTATGCCAGTGTCAAAATTTGCGAATTGACAAATTGACAAAATCGTTTATCTGTTGTGACTACATTTTTTTCCTTAGACTTTTCAATATTTTTTCCTTAAAATATTCCTTAATTTTTTTCTTATAATTTTCCTTGAACTTTTCCTTCATCACTTCCTTAATTTCTTTGCTTAATATTTTCCTTTATCTTTTCATTAATTATTTCCCTAAACTTTTCCTTTAATTTTTCCTTAATACATTAATTAATTAAAATATTAAGGAAAAGTTTAAGGAAAATATTAAGGAACAAAATACGAAAAATTATAACAAAAAATAAAGGAAAAGTTTAAAGAAAATATTAAGAAAAAATTAAGGGAAAAGTTGAGGAAAATATTAAGGGAAAAATTAAGGAAAAAGTTACAAAAAAGTTGAGAAAAACATTAAGGAAAAAATAAAGAAAAAGTTTAAGCAAAAATTAAGGAAAAGGTAAATGAAATTTTAAGGAAAATATGTAGGAAAAGTTTATGGAAAATATTATGGAAAAAATTTAAGAAAAGTTTAAGAAAAATGTATAAGAAAAGTTTCAGGAAAAAGTTTAGGAAATTGTTAAAGAAAAAGTTGAGGACAACATTAAGGTTAAAGTTACGGAAAAAGTTAAGGCAAAAGACACTTAAAAAGTTAAGGAAAAAATAAAGAAAAAGTTTAAGCAAATATTAAGGAAAAGGTAAAGGGAATTTTAAGGAAAATATGTAGAAAAAGTTTATGGTAGGTAAATATTAAAGAAAAGATTTTAAAAAAAGTTTAAGGAAAAAATAAACAAAAAGTTTAAGAAAAAATTGGAGGAAAAATTAAGGAAAAAGTTAAGGACAACATTAAGAAAAAAGTTAAGGAAAACTTTAAGGAAAAATTAAGGAAAATATGTTGGAAATATGTTGAAAAATTCCCTTAATCTTCTCCTTCATTTTTTCCTGAATTATTTATTTAATATTTTCCTGAAACTTTTCCTTCATTTTTTCCTTTATCTTCTCCTTCATTTCTTACTCAAACTTTTCCTTTATTATTGAAATAAAACTGATATTTATTTGTTCCTTTTAACTTAATTAATTAAAATGTATAATATATATAATTTGCATTTATGAAAATAAGATACTAATTTTACATTCAGAAATTCAAAAATTTTAAATATGACTTAAAAGTTGTGTTTAATAACTAAAAAATTAAATAATTTACGAAGATTTACCTTTTCGATTTTGAAGCTCACTTTCTAAAATAAATGAACTGTCCTTAAAGAGATAGACAATAGAAAAATTTTATTAAATAATTAACATAATTTTTTATTCTTTCATTGTTATATTATAAATAGAATAAATGCTTACAGTACTGGAATTCAGAAAAGAGACGCAGAAGTTTTTACACTCTTGAAAATTTTTTTTCACTGCACTTTTCTGTAAAAATAAAAAAAAGAATCAAGAACATTTTTTTAAGTCAAAATTTATCGAAATCTTTTTATAATAATTGAAAATTCTTAATCAATTTTATTCGGTATTTTAATTATTTTTTCTTATAACCATTAATATTTTTTCAAAATAATAATAAATATCAGTTGACATAGCTGAAAATTTAAAAATAGAATTTTTTAAAGATTTTTATTAAAAAGGAGAAGAATCAAGACTCACTGGAATTTCTTCACATGACTCCCTTTCCGGTGCCGTTGGATCACAATTCAATACCATCCATTGCAGATCAATCTTAAAATAAAATACGTATTAAATTTCTGAATTTAGAAAAATGTTTATTTTATATTTTATTTATTATAAAATTTTCGTTTTCAATTTTTTTGTGCTTATTTTTAAATTTATTTTCGCTTTTAATTTACGCATTCATTTTCTTTAAATTACTATTTTTATGCTAATATTAATATTTTTTACACTAAAATATTTTTAATTTTATTTTTACATATAAATATTTTATAAAAATTTATATACTAAAATTGAAATAAATAATCCATAATATTCTTTATAGTTTGAATTTCAAACATTTTACTTACTGGCATAGTGCTATTAGCGCTAAGTAATTTTGATAAGGAAATTTTTCCGCTGACATCGATAGTTCCACGAGATTCCAATTCAGTTCGAACGTCATCAATTTGAATTTTCTTGCAATCGATGTAAAGAATGACTGTCTTAGCAAAAACACCAAAATGAATTTTATGCCAATTTTTATTGAAAATCTGCATCATAAAAAGAATTTAATTTTATAAATATAAATAATATTTTTTATAACGAAAAATTTTTATTTTTGCTTCCTCATCGAGAGAGTTTTGTAGTCCTTCAAAAATTATATAATTTTTAAAAATGCTAAACAAATTTTCCTTTATAAGAAATCAAAATCAAATAAACTGATGTGTGTGAATATATTTTTAAAAAATTTTTAAAGAATAGGTATAAAAAAACAATTTTTAAAAATTTTAATTAAAAAAAGGACAAATATATTTTTCAAAAATCGTTAAAACTATTTATTTTGTAATTTTCCCCTCCAAAGAGATCTAAAAATTGATAAAACAGAAAGTTTGCTGTAGCTCTTATATGGTTTTGGATAAATATGCCAAAATTGTATTGTTGACACAAATAAATACACACAGACACCGGATGATTTTTTAAAAACACAATTTTTGTATTTCTAAGATCAAAAAACATCGAAATTATTCAAAAAATAACAATTTGAAGTTTTTCACTACAAATAGAATCTTTCTTGAGGAAGCAAAAGTTGATAAAAATTAAACAAAGCTGTACTAAAATATTAAAATTTTAAAATACATATCATTTCTACCAAAGGAGAATAATAACAATAATAAAAATATAAAATAAAAATAAAGAAAATAATAAAAATAATAATTTTTCTCAAATTTTTTAATACAAGAAGGAAAATTTTTTTTAGCTCATATAAAATTTGAAGTATTTTTTCTATATTTTAATTCTAGTCAGTTTGTTTCTTAGAATTGCGTCAAAATTTGTGAAACTTCTATGAGAACAACTTTGGGTCTTATTTCGCGGGACAAAGGAGACTCTGAGTTTTAGGCAGTTCGAGGACCATATGATAACCATATGGTCTATACTAGGATAGTCAAGGACGACAAGGCACAGGAATTTGTCGAGTCCTATGGAAAGCGCGATTTTCCAAGGGCTGGCTTGGGCAGTTGTCGTTTTGGGTCCAAAGTGTGAAGATGGACTTTTATCTGGTCGAAAATGCGGCAGTACAAAATATTTGATTTAATTGTATGTCGATTCGTATATCCTGAGACGAACTTCGAGGAATAAATATTTTATTTATTTATTTAAAAGCTGTGTTGTGGGATTTGAGAGCAACAGATCTGACTGTTTGAGGATTACCTGATTGATGATTGGAAATTTGAGGTTGTATTATACACCTAACAGGATTTTCCACAGGAATTAAGATATTAAAAAATTTCAAATTTAAACCTTTTTTAAATTAAACAACTTTTAAAAGTATTGTTATAAAACATAAAGATATCGTTTGCTTCGGGCCGAAGACTCGGAGTGATCGATTTCTTCATGTTTTATAATAAATTAAAGATGACCAAGTAATAAAATCATTATTTTATATTATATAAGAATATTGTTACTATGTTACTTCATCAAAATTATTTTCATCATCTTAATTTAATTATTATTTTCTAGAATTTTTAAATTATTTTTTATGAAAATAATAATTGAATTCATTAAAAAAATTTTATTATTTATGAAAATAATTGAATTCCTTGTGAAATTTTAATTATTTTATGAATATAATTAAATGTTTGCGCAAGAATTTCATTAAAATTTTTATAATTGAATTCTTTGAAAAAATTTTTGGTAGATTATGAAAATCATTGAATTGAGGAAAATTTTTGAAAATAATTGAAATTTTTGCCGAGAATTTTTTTATTTCTTTATTTAACAAGTATATGGGACAAGCCCTTTCGTACATAGTACTCTTACAATCTAAAATTTGCAACCGCAACTTATCCCTTTCGTGCCCCCCAAGAAACCAGTGGATGGATTTTGATGAAACTTACCCCTTGGGGGTTTTTGGGGTCGCTGATTCCGAATCTGAGGTCAGATTTCCAAAATTCAAAATGGCGGATCCAATATGGCGGACTTTTTTTAATTGCTTATATTTGTTTGAAACTCACCACTTGGGGGTTTTTGGGGTCGCTGATTCCGAATCTGAGGTCAGATTTCCAAAATTCAAAATGGCAGATCCAATATGGCGGACTTTTTTTTGGGTGGATTTTTGACGTGATTCTCACCATATTCATTCTTCCACATCCACATCGTTGTTCGCAGGTATAATTAAATATGAGTGATTGTAAAATAAATCACATCTCAAGCTTCTATTGAATATCGATTTTCAAAATTAAAGTTCAAATTTAAAATTAGGGTATCCAAAAACCCTTGAGTAGTAAACCTACAAGCAAATAGCAATTTTGGAAAAAGTCCTCTATTTTGAAATTTGAAAATGTAACTTGTCTGATTTTGAAAAAAGTCAGCCATATTGGATCCGCCATTTTAAATTTTGGAAATCTGACCTCAAATTCGTAATCAGCGACCCCAAAAACCCCTAAGTGGTTAGTTTCAAACAAATATAAGCAATTAAAAAAAAATTCCGCCATATTGGATCCGCCATTTTGAATTTTGGAAATCTTACCTCAGATTCGGAATCAGCGACCCCAAAAACCCCCAAGTGATGAGTTTCGAGCAAATATAAGCAATTAAAAAAAAGTCCGCCATATTGGATTTGTCATTTTGAATTTTGGAAATCTGACTTCAGATTCGGAATCAGCGACCCCAAAAACCCCCAAGTGGTGAGTTTCGAGCAAATATAAGCAACTTTGAAAAAAAGTATTTTTCTCAACATTATACCTATTGTTTATAATAATTATTATAGTTCTATGTCATTTATTATTTTTTTACATGTAATAGTAACCCTAGTAAATAAATAAAGCCAAACTATTTATTGTTTTGTTGAAATGCATAAGAGTTATAACATATTTTGTAGGTGGTACATATATGTACCGGAGGCACGAAAGGGTTATATTATACAATATTAACTGTGTAATCCACGCTAAATTTATAGAAATTTTTTTAAATAATTGAATTTTTGCAACGAATTCTAAATTTTCAAAAATAATTGAATTCTTACGAAGAACTTTTATTGATTTTTTTGTTAAATAATTGAATTCCAAGGAAGAATTTTATAAAAATTATTTTAAATAATTGATTTTTTTTCAAAAATTTTATGAAAATTGTTTTTGCAAATAATTAAATTCATGCGAAAATTATATTATTTACGAAAATAATTGAATCTCTGCAAAAATTTTATATTATTTATGGAAATAATTAAATTATTGTGAAAAAAATTATAAAAAATTTGCAAATGATTAAATTCCTGCTACACTGAAAAAAAATCTTTATGGTATTATTAACTATAAACCCAGGGTTAATCTTAACCTAGTAAAGTTAATTTGGATTTCCAGTAAATTCAACCAATTTCCCTGGTGAATTCCACAAATCCAAACTTTGTAAAAAGTAACTTTGCATTCCCTGGCCAAATCAGCTAGGATAATTAGTTATTTTGAAAACTTTCTGAACTGCGTACACGGAGAGAAAAAACAAGGCTTTTCCCCGTGACTTCAATTCATGCCTTTTTCAGGAAGCAGTTTCACCGGATTTCCCGATGAATTTCTTGCGTTTAGCGGTTAGGCCACGCTTTAGCCCTTATTGGCCTAAGCTCGTTCTGCGTATTTCACATTTGCCGTTTTCATCGAGTAAATCGAAACAGATAATTAAAATTAAACTATTATATATTTGATAAATTAATTCGTTCAAACTTTATAGCTAACCTAAAAAGCCTGAAATTTCACACAAGTGGAATCAAAATTTTTTAGTATTTTAATAACTGTGCTTAAGTGTTGTACCGTTATAATAATGCTTGCTTCAATGTTATAATTTATTGTTTGTTAATTTTTTATTAATTACTAATGACATATAAATGTCTTAAATAAATAAAAATGAATAGTTCTTGACGAGCAAGTAAAATTGTGTATATATTTTCAAATAAATAAAATATCTGATTAAATATTACATTTTGACTGGAAATTCTATTTAATCTTTACTTTTTGTTTGTTGTCGGATAATAGAAATTCGATTAAGAATACTAGTCAATTTGACTATTATTTTTTTCAGTGTAAGAATTTTATCAAAAAATTTGCTAATA